CAGTGCCATGGCTCACTTGGTTAATCCTCCACCTGCGATGCCGAAATCCAATATGAGCACCGGATTCCAGTCCCAGTTGCTCCTCTTCCAGTCCAGCTCTCTGCTGTGGCCCTGGAGGGCAATGGAGGATGGCCTGAGTGCTTGGGCCCCTACACCCACATGGGAGACCAGGAGAAAGTACCTGGCTGATGAATTCAGATTGGCACAGCACCGGCCATGGTGGCCATTTGAGGGATGAACCAACAGAAGGAAGACCTTTCTCTCTCTCTCTCCCACTGTCTAACTCTGCCTGTCAAATAATAAAAAAAAAAACATTCAACAAATTATGTACAGAATTTATTAGGTATATTCCTCAAAATTATGGAGACTGTATATCACAGACCAAGAGGCAGTATCATACTGAATGGGAAAAAGCTGAAAGCATTTCAAAGAGATCTAAAACTAGAAATCATTCTTGTTCCATATTGTGCAGTAAGTCTTAACAACAGCAATTAGGGAGGAACAAGAAATAAAAGCCACCAAAATTGGAAAAGAGGGAGTCACAGTGTTGTGTTCTGGATCACCCAGATAGAAAGAACCAGCGAGACTCACCAAAATGCAAAGAACAAAGGGACTTTATTTATAGGTCCAGCATGCTCGGGTCTGGTTTCCTAAGCAACACAGTGCCGGGAGGCCAAGACCCCCTTCTCTTTGTTCCTGAGGGTTTTTATAGTTGCCAGGCAAAAAGTATTACATCCACATTCCTTCTTTCCACATATGGCCATACATCGAGTCTGCCCACTTTATTGGTTGTCCCCACCTGGTGCTGCTGGGCCAAGAACTTCCCAGTGTCAGTTTTTTTTTTTTTTTTCAACAGGCATGTTCTGGGCCTAGTCTGTTCCTTTGTCTTGTGAGAAGTCTGTCATGGCAGAGCTCTGGCCTCTCACAACAGCAGCTGAAATTTGAATCAACTAAGGTGTTTGTCATCAGATGAATGAGTAAAGAAAATGTGGCATATATATACAATGGAGTCTTATTTAGCTATAGAAAGTAATAAAATTCTACCATTTGCAGCAAAATGCATGCAGCTGGAGGACATTAAGTTGCAAAAAATAAGTTGGTTCCAGAAAGACACTTATCACATGTTCTACCATATATGTGGGAGCTGAATTTTAAAAAGAAAAAAAAATGATTTTACATATCAGTACTGCTGTAAATATAAATTTCTAATCTTTGCTTTATGCAATTTTCAAATTGATGTGAGAAAACTCAAGATAGAGATAGTTCATAAACTAGAGGCCACATCTTGCCTGCCTCATGTAATCCTATTGACCCACTTGTCAGACTGTGTAACCACTCCCTTTTTGAAGCTCATTATGATATCGGAGATGACCCCCTAAAATCTACATGGAGATATGGTCCCTTGAAGTTCCCCAGAACTGCCATCTGAGGTGCCACATATGTTACCGGAACATGGGTGCCATATGATATCACCATATGCTTATTAATAGATCCCCAATGTTCATAAGCTCAAGAGGGTTCTTGCCTAATATTTGGAGAATAATTCTAAATTCCAGCAAAAATAAATGAGGCAGCATGGTACATTTTAGGCTTTTATTCAGTGAGAGAAATCATAGAACAGTGAGTGCTTTACCTAAGAGAGAGGTAAATCTGGGTTCATACCAAGCACCAGGAACCAGCCATTTGGAGGAGCATCTAGGCCAGGAAGCCTAGGGCAGGTGGGCCGAAGGTCATGCACCCTGGAGGCACAGGGCTACAGCAAGCCCCCTCCTGGCAAGAGGCCAGGGCAAAGAAGTGAGGGAGGGACACACCATGTCCTAGGCTTTTAACCCACTTCCAAAGGGGAGTGGTTAATTAACCTAATAGCTGGTGGGCACTCAGGTGTAGCCAGGTAGGGTGTGAGGTCACACAGGGGCATGGCGAAGGCATGGTCTTCTAGCTAACAAACCTAATTGATTTTAACTTGTATGCCTGCCTACTTCAATAAGAATCTTGGTGAACAGCAGGGCTCTCTCTTCTCGTGGACCCAAGTAAAGCAGGATATGGAAGTTCCTGTTTACCCTTCCTGGCCCACTCTCCCTAAATAAAGTCCTTAGGTCCTTCTGTATTATTCTCACTCTATAAATGAACTTCATTACACTGAAGGTCATGTTTGTTCCTGTGCTTAGAATTCTCCTCAAAGTAACAGACAAGAGCCTGAATTAGGCCAGCACTGTGGTTCACTAGGCTAATCCTCCACCTGCGGCACCAACACCCCAGGTTCTAGTCCTGGTTGGGGTGCTGGATTCTGTCCTGGTTGCTCCTTTTCCAGTCTAGCTCTCTGCTGTGGCCCAGGAGTGCAGTGGAGGATGGCCCCAGTCCTTGGGCCCTGCACCCACATGGGAGACCAGGAGGAAGCACTTGGCTCCTGGCTTTGGATTGGTGCAGCGCCACCATAGCAGCCACTTGGGGAGTGAACCAATGGAAAAAGGAAGACCTTTCTTTCTCTCTCTCTCTCTCTCTCTGTCTAACTCTGCCTGTCAAAAAAAATAAAAATAAAAAAATTAAAAATAAATAAAGAAAGAAAGAAATAGAGCCTGAAGTAAGAGTCTGGGCCAGACCTAGCCCCCAACATACTGGCAGAGCCAGCCAAGAGAAATCTGTTTCTAATGGAGCAGAATGTTAAATAGAATTCAAGCAGTTTCTGTCTCAGCAATGCCTGGTTAAGTTTCATTGTCTCCCAGTCTCTTTTCTCTCAGTGCTTGCAGTTTGGGAAGCTCAGCTAAAATGCAAAGATTGTCTTTTGTGTCTCTGATTTTGGTTTGTTTTGGGGAGCAGAGCCTAATACGGACTGTTAGCATTAATTGAATTTGGACAGAAAGGCAGGAGAAAGAGGAGCAAGTCTGTGACAGTTTCGCAATACATAAATGTTTCCAAGTGGACTGTAACATGTCTTAAGGACCATTTATATATTTGTGGATGTTAAAAATCAAGCCTTTAGTTTTACAGAAAGGTTTTTAAAATCATAGATGTTGCTTTGCCTCAGATTTCTGCATTTCAAATCAGGCATGCTAGACAACTTTTCATTTGCAAATTTCTGGTGGTAGAATAAGTTCTGCTGCCCAGTAACCAAGATAGCATAGCATCAGGAAGGCAGGACTCCAAACACAATGGAGGTTCCACTGCCTGCAGTGGAGAGTGGGACTTTTGCCCCATATTGTACTTCCAGGAAAAACATGTGGTTGCCAAGATGGCTGTCCCCATGAGGACTTCTACCCTTCCTGGAAGATGGGCAACAGACCCATCCCCAATATGGCAGCCCTCATAGCTGATTGTGTGCTGCAGTGTTGGTCCTGGCCTGGCAGAGCTGAGGCCTGCAAGGCACCCTCAAATCCCACAGCGCTGGGGACAGAAGTAGCTTGTATAAACCAGGAGGTGTTGAGACCCAGCATGGGTGGCAGGAATGGCAGGGATTTGCTGAGTGACATTTGCATTTTAGTTCTTTTATTTATTCATTTTAGCTTTTCTATGGTTCCCTTGGAGCTCCTGAAATTTTTATTCCCTGTCAGGCACGTCCTTCTGGGATTTCATCTTGAACCAAGCAGTTTCCCTTTTTATTTTAGCTTTTATTGTACCTTAACCCTTGTTCTCATGGGCTTCCTGAAATTTTTATCTCAGTTCTGGAGTGGCCTTCTGAATTTTCATCTCAGACCAGGCAGGGTTTTCTTTTTTATTTTATTTTTTTTTTTGTTTCAGATTTACTCTGGTTTTCTTGGACTTCCTGGGGTTCTATACCCCAGGTCTGGTGTGACTTTCTGAAATTCCATCTCAAACCAGGCAGCAGTATTCTCTGTTGCATTCTGGGATGTTTTTCTTTTTATTTTAGCATGTTACTTTGGCTATACACTGGTTATTTAAAAAAAAAAATGGGAACTGTAAGATTGTCACAAAACACACCAAACAGCAGAGTAAGGGAAAGGGTTTATTGTGGAAAGGAAGGAGAAAGAGATTATAAGAGAGAGAGAGCGCAGAGAGAAGAGAGAGTGAGCAAGAGAAAGTGAGATGAGAGAGGAGAGAGTGGAAGAGAAGATAGGGCCATGTGTTCAAGAACAGGTCCTTTTAAAACTTTGCCAGAGGGTGGACAGGGAAGCAGGAGCAGCAAATCCCATTAGGATAAGGGTGGAGCTTCACAATGATGGTTGGGCCATGTGAGCACCTGGCTTCCAGCAATGGTGGTGGAGCTAGAGCCTAGGATGATGTCAGGGTGTAGACCATGCCATAGATAAAACTGCACCATTTTCCTACCAAGAACCCCCTCAATGTAGTGGGTAAAATAATGGACCTCATTTTGTTTTTTTTTTTTGTTTGTTTTTTTTAAACTTTTATTTAATGCATATAATTTTCCAAAGTACGACTTATGGATTACAATGGCTTCCCCCCCATACCGTCCCTCCCACCCACAACCCTCCCCTTTCCCACTCCCTCTCCCCTTCCATTCACATCATGATTCATTTTCGATTATCTTAATATACAGAAGATCAGTTTAGTATACATTAAGTATGGATTTCAACAGTTTGCTCCCACACAGAAACATAAAGTGAAAAATAATAGATGATTTTTTTAAATGATGATGAAATCAGAGCAGACCTATTGTCATGTTTAATCCCAGTGAGAGTCAAGTTGGGAATTGATAATTTCTTTTTTTTTTCTTTTTTCTTTTTTTTTTTTTACAGAGGATCAGTTTAGTATGCATTAAGTAAGGATTTAAACAGTTTGCACCCCCATAGAAACACAAAGTGAAATATATTGTTTGAGTACTCGTTATAGCATTAAATCTCAATGTACAGCACATTAAGGATAGAGATCCTACATGAGGAGTAAGTGCACAGTGACTCCTGTTGTTGACTTTACCAATTGACACTCCTGTCTATGGCATCAGTAATCTCCCTATGCTCCAGTCATGAGTTTCCAAGGCTATGGAAGCCCTCTGAGTTCTCCGACTCTTATCTTGTTTAGACAAGGTCATAGTCAAAGTGGAGGTTCTCTCCTCCCTTCAGAGAAAGGTACCTCCTTCTTTGATGACCTGTTCTTTCCACTGGGATCTCACTCGCAGAGATCTTTTGCCAGAGTGTCTTGGCTTTCCATGCCTGAAATACTCTCATGGGCTTTTCAGCCAGCTCCGAATGCCTTTAGGGCTGATTCTGAGGCCAGAGTGCTATTTAGGACATCTGCCATTCTATGAGTCTGCTGAGTATCTCACTTCCCATGTTGGATCACTCTCCCCTTTATTTACTCCATCAGTTAGCGTTAGCAGGTACTAGACTTGTCTATGTGTTCCCTTTGACTCCCAGTCCCTTCACCATGACCAACTGTGAACTGAAACTGATCACCTGGAACAGTGAGATGGCATTGGTACATGCCACCTCGATGGGATTGAATTGGAATCCCCTGGTATGCTTCCAACTCCACTACTTGGGGCAAGTCAGCCTGAGCATGATGGACCTCATTTTGTGTACAAATAGAGACTGTAATGTGTCAAAATTACAGTTAAGGAAATGAATCCAAGTCACATGCTTAATGATAATTGGGCTTATGAATAGCCAGGTCTGTTTTTATCTTCTCTGGTACTAAAAACAAACTATTCAGATGCTTAGTCCTATATACATTCCTGAGGACTTACTTCTAGGGATACAGTTTGAAAACTTGTATGGAATCCCAAATACCCATGAGCCGGGTAGTAAAAGCAGCATTTCTATAGTGATAATGTAGATAGAGTTAAAGAGGAGAAAATATTCCAACATGGGAAGCAGTGCATACAACAGACTCATAGAATGGCAATTGCTGTAACACTCAGTGGCCTCAGAATCAGTCCATATCAAGATGGCTAAAAGGCACACGAGAGCATTTCAGGTGTGGGAAGCCAGGACATTTGTGCAAAGAGTGTCCCTCCATGAAGGATCTGTGACTGAGACTCCAGTTGAAAGAAGTGGTCATCAAGGGAGGATGTACTCTTCTCTAAAAGGAAGCAAGGACTTCCAATTTCCTCATGGCCTTGTCTGAAGAATGATGGAGTTTGTAGATTCAAGAGACTTACACACTGGAGCCTGTGTTTTGGCACAGCAGGTTAATCCTTGCCTGCAGCCCAGCTCCCATATAGGCACTGGTTCTAGTCCTGACTTCTCTTCTGATCTAGCTCTCTGCTACAGCTGGGAAAGCAGTAGAAGATGTCCCAGGCACTTGGGCCCCTGTACCCACATGGGAGACCCAGAGGAAGCTCCTGGATCTTGGCTTCAGATCAGCCCAACTCCAGCTGTTGTGGCCATTTGAGGAGCGAACCAGTGTGTAGAAGACATTTCTCTCTCTCTTTCTCTCTTTCTCTCTCTCTACATCTATGTCTCAAATAAATAAATAAAATCATAATGGCTAGGGTGGGTCAGCCCAAAACCAGGAGATAGGAGCCTCATCCAGGTCTTCCACATGGGTAGCAGGAGCCCAAGTACTTGGACCACCCTTTGCTGCTTTTCCCAGGCCAATATCAGGGACCTGGACCTGAAATAAGGCAGCTGGTATACCAGATGGTGCCCAGCCTGGGAATAAACCAGTGCGTATATAGGTTGCCAGCATCACAGGAAGTGGCTTTACCTGCTAAGCCACAAACACTGCCATCCCACACTAATAGAACCAATGTAAATCTGCTACTACAGATTAATTATCTAATTCTAAGTGAGAAGGTAGTTCAAAGCTTTAGCAATATAACAAAAGTACTTGGCTAAGTAGTATGGCATAGCAAGAATTTGACTTCAGATCTACCTTTTTCTTCTTTTTTTAGTTTTATTTATTTATTTTGAAAGTCAGAGTTACACAGAGAGAGGAAAGGCAGAGAGAGAAAGAAAGGTCTTCCATCTACTGGTTCACTTCCCAATTGGCCACAATGGCTGGAGCTGTGCCAATCTGAAGCCATGAGTCAGGAGTTTCTTCCAGATCTCCCACACAGGTACAGGGGCCCAAGGACTTGGGACATCTTCCACTGCTTTCCCAGGCCATAGCAGAGAGCTGGATTGGAAGTGGAGCAGATAGGTCTTGAACCAGCACCTTTATGGGATGCCGGCACTTCAGGCCAGGGCATTAACCCACTGTGCCACAGCACCGGCCCTAAGGTTTACCTTTTTAAAAACTGAGAATCCAAACATGTTCATCTTCAGGGGCACACATCAGATCTAAGCTTTATCAGGAATGCCATCTTCTAATTAATTCATAATATTGTCCCATGTGACTCACTGGTGGCACTGCAAGGGAATTCCCCCTCTATTCCATCCAGTTCCATCTTCTTAATTTGACTTTCTAGTTCATTCTAGTTACTTATTTTACCACATATTTACTAAGACTGCAGACTCTTAGTCATTATGTCTCCTGATTAAAGATAGCTTTGTGACTCAAAATGTTTGCCAATCCTGTGGCTGCATCTGACAGAGTATATGACAAGGATATTTATCCTGGTCTAACTAGATTCATCATTCACTAAATCAATTTAATATACATCTAGAAATACTATTGCATCTAGCAAATTAAAGCATTCTCATGCTCCATGAATACCTCATATCCTCTTCCATGCACTGGGAATTTCCCATATTTTCATGTTACCACTCACCTTTTCCTACACATGTGGAATGATAATTTGACAAAATACCTCTTTTATGCTATGCAATTTAAAAATATTACTGCATTGGTATTTCAGTTTATACTTCTTTCATTATACCTGGAATATCATATTTACCCTTGATAATTCATTTTTGGAGACATAGGAACAATTATATATTGGAGAAGTAGCCTGGTGTGTTGGCTCAAGGTGCAACAGATAGAATATCCCATTAAGAAAAGAGGGAGGGGCTGGTGCTGTAGCATAATTGGTAAAACCACCACCTGTGATGCTGGCATCCCATATAGGGACCTGTGGGTCCTGGCTGCTCCACTTCTGATCCAGTGCCCTACTAATGTGTCAGGGAAAGCAGTGGAGGGTGGCCCAAGTGCTTGGGCCTCTCCATCCATGTGTGATACTTGTAAGAAGCTCCTGGCTCCTGGCTTCAGACTGGTCCAGCTCTGGCTATTGCAGCCATTTGCAGATTGAACTAGCAAATAGATCTCTCTCTCTCTCTTTCTTTCTCTGTAACTCTATGTTTAAAAAATGAATAAATCTGGAAGGAAGGAAGAAGGGAGGGAGGGAGGGAGGGAAGGAAGGAAGGAAGGAAGGAAGAAGGAAGAGGGAGGAAGAAGGAAGGAAGGAGAAGGAAGGAAGGAGGAAGGAAGAAAGAAGGAAGGAGGGAGGGAGGGAGGGAGGGAGGGAAGGAGGGAGGGAGGGAAGGAAGAAAGCTGTGGCTGGCGCATCACGCTGATCCGAAGCCAGGAGCCAGGTGCTTCTCCTTGTCTCCCATGCGGGTGCAGGGCCCAAGGACTTGGGCCATCCTCCACTGCACACCCAGGCCACAGCAGAAAGCTGGACTGGAAGAGGGGCAGCCGGGACAGAATCTGGCACCCTGACTGGGACTAGAATCTGGGGTGCCGGTGCCGCAGGCAGAGGATTAGCCTATTGAGCCACTGTGATGGCCCCATCCATTGTTAACTCTATGATTGCCATGTCTAATAACTCAAGTGAGACACATTACAGGTTCTAATTTCTAATTGTGTGTCAGAGGCCTAAAATAAGGTCTAAGTGAACTTCAAAAACCTCATTTTAAAATGGAATTAAAAGGTAAGTAGCTTAGGTTTCTATAAAATTTTTGAACTACCCATAATGAGAAAATCATTTGGAATGCATGCAATTTTTTCATAGAATGCGGTTTTCATTAACTTTTTGAAGATTTCTTGTGTGTACAGATTTCACAATTTTTTGCATCCAAATAAATCTAAATTTTTTTTAAATTTTAATTAAGTTATGCAAGTTTCCTGTATTCTATATATACAGATTTATGACCATGGCAGTCCTTCCTACCCTACCCTCCCTCCCGCCCATGCTCTAACCCTTCTTCCTCCCTCTCCCATTTCCACTCTTAATTTTGACAAAGATCTACTTTCAGAAAATAAACTTATTTTTAACTCCATTTACACAAACTGAAGTACTCTGGTATGTCTGCAACATAAAGCATAAAATTTTCTCCCAAAGAAAAATTTCTTCTTCAGCCAGTGGCTTCACTAGTCATATGAGCATTCATCTAAGATATGAACTCAGAACCACACAAACAGAAGTAATGGTTCTTATCCCTACACTGAACACTGACATCACATTCACTTCCACCTTCATATCAACATGCTCACCCAAACACATTATGCTTGAGTCTCGGAATAAAGTCATTTCTACAAGATTCCTTCCTTCAATTCCTATCCACTGTTTACTTGAGTGAGTGCAAACAGAGGAGCAACACACATGGATAAAATTTGACTCTCCTTTATTGCCAGAAGTAGAGAGCCGCCTCATGACCTAACGAACTCTCAACTCCAAAACAAAAACCACAAAAAATGGGAAGGGGAATACATGGTTGCTAGGATCAGGGGGAATATATGGTTACTGGGGTCAAGCCAACCTAAGACCTATGTGAAACTTATATCAATTATAATCTTGACAATACCAATTACAGTCTTATCAATTCCAATTATAATCTTGACATTAATCCAGGTGTTGGCCTAAAGCATATGTGAGACATAGACAAATTACAATCTTATCATTAACCAAGGTATAGCCTATCTGGTATAGCTTGAGGGATCCTGCTGGGGGGTTTCTATGCTCTGCTAAGTGTGATGTAGTGGACTGCTATTTTCTGAGTTTTTTAGATCATAGTTTCATACCAGAGTCTCTTGGTGGGGGGTGTTTTCTCAAGATGGAGTCTTGAGTGCTCTAAAATTGAGTCCCTACTGTCAATGTGTTACCCACCCACCAGTGCAAATCTTCTGCTCTCCTACTTTTTGTCTTTATTGGAAACCTTCAATCCACTCCTCTAGTAACTTACTCTTATGATTATTTGTTTGATTATTTCTTTTTAAATTTGTATTCATTTTAACTTATGTGAAAGGCTGAGAGACAAAGAGACACAGATAGCAATCTCTTCTATCCACTTCACAAATGCCTATGACAAACAGGACTGGTTGAGGTTAAAGCTAAGCACCCATAAATCAATCTTGGTTACTCACATGAGTGGCAGGATATCAGGGGTCTCATCCATCACCTGCTGCCTCCCAAGGTATGCATTGCATTAGTAGGAAGCTGAAATAGGAAGCAGAGACAGTTTTAAACTCTAAGCCCTCCAATATGGAATACAGGCACATCCCAAACATCCTTTTTTTTAAAGATTGATTTGAAAGCGTCACAAAGAGATGAGATGGGGGGGGATTGCATTATCTGATTCAGTCCCCAAATGGGTGCAACAGCTAGGTCTAGGCCAGGCTGAAGCCAGGAGCCAGGAGTTGCATGCAGGTCTCCCATATGGGTGGCAGGGCACTAAACAACTGGTCCATTTTCAGCTTTCTCAGGCCATTAGCTTAGATCTGGATCAGAAGTAGAGCAGCTGGGACATGAACTGGTGCCCATTATGGGATACCAGCATTGTAGGTGGTGGCTTTACCCACCACTTTATAACACTGCCCCCCACCAAGTACCATCTTAACTACTGATGTGTTTTCACTTGTTTATTCCTGTTTACTCCCTTTAGATTAACCACAGAAAACTTAGCTGCAGAACCATAATTCAGTTATCCTCTTGACTATCATTATGAATTACAAATCAACAGAGAGTTGCTGTGTACAATAACCTACTGTTCTCAAAACCCTGCTGCCCTGTGCCTGGTCACCTGAAAATTAAAAATTAGATTATGGGTTGGATAGTGTGCTTCAGAGATTGAGACCTGAGCATCCTAATTCAAAGTGCCTGGTTTGAGTCCTAGCAACTCTATGGCTTCCAATCCAGGTTTGTGTAATGCACCTGAGAAGTATGGGATAATGTCCCAAGTACTTGAGTTTGTGCCACCTGGATGGAGTTCCTGTCTCCTTTCTTCAGACTTGCTTAGCATTGGCTGATGTGAGCATTGCAGAGTGAACAAGTGAATGAAAAATATATTTCTTTGTACCTCCCTTATTATTGCTCTGACTTTTAAATGAGCTGATAAAAAATCTTTTTAAAAAATATTTATTTACTTATTTGAAAGTGAGAGTTATACACAGAGAGGAGAGACAAAGAGAGAGTCTTCCCTCCACAGGTTCACTCCCCAGATGGATGCCAAGGCCGGAGCTGCACCAATCCGAAGCCAGGAGCCAGGAGCTTCTTCCAGGTCTTCCATGCAGGTGCAGGGAAGGACTTGGGCCATCTTCCACTGCTTTCCCAGGTCACAGCAGAGAGCTAGGTTGAAAGTGGAGTAGCCAGAACTTGAACCAGCACCCATATGGGATGCCATCACAGCGGGCAGTGGCTTTACCCACTATGCCACAGTGCTGCCCCAAAATCTTTTTTTTTAATTCCTGTCCAGCTCTTTGCTGTGGCCCAGTAGTGCAGTGGAAGATGGCCCAGATCCTTGGGCCCTGCACCCGCACGGGGGACTGGGAGGAGGCTCCTGGCTCCTGGCTTTGGATCGGCACAGCACGCCAGCTGCAACACGCTAGCCATGGCGGCCACTTTGGGGGTGAACGAACTCACTGTCTAACTCTGCCTGTCAAAAATAAATAAATAAATAAAAACTAGATGATAATACAAAGGAGGTGCAAAATTTTTCCTAGTACTAACAAGAGTCAAAATAGTTGGAAAATTTCTGTGACTGACTCATTGATTTTGTAGTCACTACATTTGAGGGCTCAAACTTTCAGACACTTCGCACAAGTCTGTGATCTCTTTTATTCTAAAGTTCATGATCACATCAGCTTTATGATCTAAAAGGCATAGTCTGCTTAACCTGAATTAAACTCAAGATCAAGGTAATTACACTATGACATCGTTAACAAACTTTTCTCCCTAATTCTGTACAACAGCTATAAAAGTAAAAGGAAACATGATGAACACTTTTGCTCTGTCAAAGTTCTAAATGGTTATAAAAACAGCCCCCATGAGTTTGCATAGATGCCCTTCTGCTTTGTGGAGTTTCACTTGTTCTGAAAAGAACTTCAGATAATTTCTGCAAGAATGTTGGTTTTAACTTGAGATAATGTAAAGTGCTGATGTTCTCTGAGGCTGTGAATTTCAGAACAGCTCTCTATTAGAAAGAGCTGTATTTTACTGATTACAGGGACAAGCATTTGCCACAGCAATAACAATGCTACTTATATCAGAGTGCCTTTTAAAAAAATCATTTATTTTGTTTATTTGAAAGGCAGAATTAGGGGTGGGAGAGAAGTAGATTTCCATCCACCGGTTCAATCCCCAGATGGCTGCAACAGCTGGGGTAGGTTGGATCTGAAGCTACAAGCCAGGAGCTTCTTCTAGATCTCCCATGTGGGTTCAGGAGACCAATGATTTGGGCCATCTTTTGCTGCTTTCTCAGGCACATTAGCAGGGAGCTGGATCAGAAGCAGAGCAGCTGGGACTTGAACCTGTGCCCACATGGAATACCAGCATTACAGGCAGCAGCTTTATCTCCTCTGCCACAGGTCTAACCCCTCAGAGAGCCCCTATTATGAATGCACACCCTGAGAGGCTGCAGGTGATGGTCTAATTAATTGGGCTTCTATCACCCACATGGGAAACACAGACTAAATTACTGGCTCCTGAATCAGGTTTACCCAGCCATGCTATTGCAGGCCTTTGGGGGAATGAAGCAACTGATGGGAAATATCCTATCACTCTGCCTTTCAAATAAATAAGTATATTTTTAAAAATCTAATTACACATATTATATTTCATACAATATATAATGATATGAAACATTAAGAGAGCAGATAATTGAGGATTCTAGCATCTACATCTTTGGCATGGAAATGTTTTGAAACAGATGGATTTTTGAATTGCATTTATCCATGAAAATTTTTTTTTGACAGCAAAGTGGCCAGTGAGAGAGAGAGACAGAGAGAAATGTGTTCCTTTTCCATTGGTTCACCTCCCAATGGCTGCTGCGGCCAGCGCACTACAGCCAGCGCACCACACTGATCTGAAGCTAGGAGCCAGGTGCTTCTCCTGGTCTCCCATGCTGGTGCAGGGCCCAAGGACCTGGGCCATACTCCACTGCACTTCCAGGCCACAGCAGAGAGCTGGACTGGAAGAGGAGCAACTGGGACAGAATCTGGTGCCCTGACCAGGACTAGAACCTGTTGTGCTGGTGCCACAGGTGGAGGATTAGCCTATTGAGCCATGGCGCCGGCCTGAAAATTCTTCTAATGAGTAGATGGAACACTAGATAGCCTTTGATCAAAGTAATAAGCTAAGCATGTCAATTTTCTCAAATGACAGTGATAAATTCTCTTAAATATATTTGTTTTAGAAATAAAAAGAATTATCAGGAATTACTACAAAGAGCTGTATGCCCACAAATAGGGTCACCTAGAAGAAATGGTTCCTGGACACATACAACCTACCAAAATTGAGCCATGAAGACATACAAAGCCAAACAGACCAATAATTAAGATGGAGATTGAATTAATAATAAAGGCCCTCCCAACAAAGAAAAGCCCAGGACCAGATGGCTTCACTACAGGATTCTACCAGACATTTAAAAAAGAACTAATTTCAATACTTCTCAAGCTATTCAAAACAATTAAAAAAGAGACACTCCTCCCAAACTCCTGCTATGAAGCCTGCATCACCTAAACCCAGAAAAAAAATACAGCAGAGAAAGAGAACTATAGACCAATTTCCCTGATGAATATAGATGCAGAAATCCTCAACAAAATACTAGCCAATTTAATCAAACAACACAATCAGAAAGATCATTCACCCAGACCAAGTGGGATTTAATCTTGGTATACAGGGGTGTTTCAGCATTCACAAATCAATAAATGTGATATATCACATTACAAACTGAAGAATGAAAACCCAATGATATCTAAACAGATGTAGAGAGAGCATTTGATAGAATACAATATCTTTTCTTGAAGAAAACCTTAAGCAACTTGGGTATAGAAGGAACACTCCTTGAGACAAGGCAATCTATGACAAACCCACAGCCAACATCTTACTGAATAGGGCAAAGTTGGAAGCTTTCCCACTAAGAATGGAATATGACAATGATTCCCACTCTCACCGGTACTATTCAACATATTTCTGGAAGTTTTAGCCAGAGCCATTAGGCAAGAAAAAGACATAAAAAGCATACAAATTGGGAAGGAGGAAGTCAAGCTAACCCTATTTGCAGATGACATGATTCTATATATAAGGGAAGAAAGGACTCCAAGAAGAGACCATTGATACTCCAAAAAGAGATTTGTAAAGTGGAAGGATATAAAATTAACACACAAAAATCAATAGCCATTGTATACACAGACAATGTCATGGCTGAGAAAAAACTTCTAAGATCAATCCCATTAACAATAAATATACAAAAAGTTAAATAACCTTGGAATAAATTTAACCAAGATTGTCAAAGATCTCTATGATGAAAATTGCAAAATGTTAAAGACAGAAATAGAAGAAGGCAAAAAAGTTATGGGGGGAAAGCCATTGTAATCCGTAAACTGTACTTTGGAAATTTATATTTACTAAATAAAAGTTAAAAAGAAAAAAAAGGATAAGGCACAAAAAATAGGAAATCTTCCATATTCATGGAATGGAAGTCAATACCATCCAAATATCCACATTACCAAAAGCAATTTACAGACTCAATGTGATACCAATCAAAATACCATGGACATTTTTCTTAGATATAGAAAAATGATGCTGAAATTCATATGGAAGCACAGGAGACCCTGCATAACTATATCAATTTTACACAACAGAAACAAAGCTGGAGGCATCACAATACCAGGTTTCAAGACATACTACAAGGCAGTTATAGCCAAATAGACTGGTACTGGCAAAAAAAAAAAAAAAAAAAACAGATATGCAGACAAAGGAGAAGAATAGAAATTCCAGAAATCAATCAAAGTATCTACAACCAACTTATATTTGACTAAGGAACTAAAATGAATCCTTGGAGCAAGGACAGACTCTTCAGCAAATGGTACCAGGAAAAATTGATCTCCTCATGCAGAAGTATGAAGCAAGACACCTACCTCACATCTTATACAAAATTCCACTCAAAATATATTGAAGATCTAAATCTACAACCCGATGCCATTAAATTACTAGAAAAA